AGTTCACTTCCAAACTTTTCTACAAAATAGTTACTGGAATTTGGGGGAAGTGAGCACAAAGAAAACACTGTAATAACTAACACAATGACCCTTTCAACCAGGCAGGCGAGCAGCCTTCTTAGTGAAATTGGACTTAATGTACGTTTGAACCAGACAGTGAAAGAAAATCTCTCACCAGCACATCACAAGGCCAATAATGTGTAAACAGATAATAGCAAGAGCTGTGTGGTTCATAATTAATTCAGAGGAGATGGTATTTCTGCCTTCTTCCCACTTTGGTCAGTCATTGAAGACAATTTGCCTCAGCCTGTGTGAAGTATCATATTTCAGAATGAAATCCTTCAAGTCCCATCATGATAGCACTAACATGAAGTAAAAAAATAAAAATATTTACATTTACTGGACATTGCAGTTGTCTGGCAGAATTTTAGACAAGCCTCTGTACCCATAACCTTCTAGTCATACCCAAATCAATTTCAAATATATGACAGAAATATTAAAAAACCCAGAAAATATTAAAAAACAGAATAAATAAATGGTGATGATAATGAACAGTGTAATTAATAATCTAACACTGATACTGAGCAGTTAAAAGTTCAACAGGGTTTTGAAAACAATGTGAATGTATTCACTGATTTTTGCAAGCAGAGGTTTATCCAGAATAAAAACTTCTGTGGGTCTCAGATGCTTGAGGTGACCTTTCTCTGACCAACTTGTTCCCTGGTGAATACGTATTTAGGGCACCCTTTATGCTTGTGGTTGTTGCTGTGCCAGGTAGAGCCCCTGCTCAGGCTTCAGAATTCTCCCCAGCTTGGTGGCTCCCAGCTCAGCCCATGGTATGTGTACCAAATTGGCAGCTGTCAAAATTATTCAGCTTAGAAATGCATCAGACACGGTGGTTAATGACCCAAACTGAAAAACAAGGGAAGAAACACAAGATCTTTTCAGTTCTAGAGGATGAGGGCTGAATATCCTGTGCTACAGGTGGAGGCTTGGGCAGGGACATCTGCCCACCTTCACCACTAACAGCCTCTACAGCCAGGTCTCTTATCAGTGCCATCAAACCATGTCTCCCTCATTGCAGCAGTGTGACCCAGCTCTGGCACTTGTTTAAGGGCAAAAATAATTTATTTTATGACCTCACTGAACTTCCAATTGAAGCACTGACATAGTGGGATTTTAAAACAAACTTTCTTCTAGTAACATTTGCAGCACCTCAGAAAATCCCACACTATGTATTTTGACCACATCACGAAAAAGGGTTTGCTCTGGATACTGAAAAACATCCCCTGTTTGAGAGAAGCATGTTTGCTTTCTGGCAGGATACAGCCTTCACAGAGACCACAGCAGACACAAGCATTAAGAATGGATTCCCCTCACAGAGGCTCAATGTTGCCATTAGTGGGACAGTACCAAATACAGAAGATACCCTGTCTTAAAAATCAGTCTTTTCAGTGCAGAAACAGGGGATAATGACAAGAAACCTTTAGGAAATATCACTATTTCTATAGCTTGTGATGCTAATTACAGTCATTACCAGAAAGTCTAAAAAAGTTCTGCCTATTTTTTGTTCTCTGCTCATGCTGGCTGAGCCATGAGATGAACTTGAGATGCAGCAACAATGCTAGGCAAAAAAGCTCCTCAAATCCTAAAGCCCATTTATTTTCAAACATTACTACCTAAAGTTTCTATAATAGCTCAAAAATCCCTGTCCTGTGTACATACACACAACATAATCCAAGACACATTATTTTCTAGAAAACATCCTTTGAATGCACAGCAAAAGCAGAGCAGCATTCTGTTAATGGGGTTTGTTCATTGATTCTACATATTTAATTTTTGTTTAGATTTAACTCCTTTTCCTCTTACCTCTTTCACCATCATTAATTTGAAGAGATTTCCAGAGATTACCTGTGAAGATTCATGCTCAACAAAACTGTCCACTTGCCTGCAATAACATATAATTCTTTCCTGGTCTTCTAGTTTTGGACTGTTTTTTTCCCCAAAAACTTTAATGAAATAAAAAGAATGCCTCCTAAATCACTCACTGCTCTGGCTACACGGTGTGCATATGGCCCAAGGCTGGATGCAAGGGTTTGTACCAGTTTATGCTTCTAAGGAAGTTGGGTGTTCTCAGGAGGGTCTGTGATCCATTGTCAGTGTGACAACACAGGACACGCACATTCTGTACTCTGCTGAAGCTCTTCCATTAGAAAGATTAACAAAGTCAGGGAGAGGAGGTCAGATAATTGTTTTAATACTTAAACAACAAATTAAATAGAGTGCTGGAGCTGGCATTGCTCACACAAATGCTGCCCACTCACCCAGAGTCTCTGGTCACTGTTTCCCACTTTCAGTCCAGCCAGCTACTCACCATGGAGCCCCATCCAAAGCAGAGGTGGAAAACCTGCCTTGCCAACTCACACATTACAACAGATTGCCTGCTGATTACACCTCTCTCCTTCCAGAAAACAATTCCAAACAAATAAGGCATAGTATTTGCCTGGGACAGCTTCCACAAACAGCAAAAACCTTAAATAAAAACACAGGTTGGGAAGTCTGGCTGGATGGGAAGCCTCTTCCCCTCCTGGTGCATTTTTATATACATCAAAAGCTATTATCATGACCCTTGACATGTTAAATGTGAAGTGCTCAACTGTCCACATTACCCTACATATTTCATATCCTACATATGTCTACTATCCTATATATTTTATTTTGAATATCTCAATGCCGCTGTAATGATCAGAGAATCTTCCTTTTTTCCTGTAAATTTTTTATTAGGCTAATCCTAATCTCTAAATATTTAAAGCTTTATTTGTTTGACATACTGAATTAATTGACTATTAATACAAAACCTCCCACAAAGAAGCTGCAAATATAGTACCTCAAGCTCTGACTTCACTTCTCACAGCCTAAGGCCTCAATTCTTCAATTACACACATTTATCTGTACTATGGTGAAGAATCCCAATGGGACGACTCACACTAGGGAAGTTAATCACATTTGTGAAGATCCAAGTCCCGTAGTTCTGGCTTGGGACTGTATTTGGATGAGACATCTTTAGGGAACTGAGATCTGAAGAAAGCAGCACCAGCAGTGCAGTGTTTCTATGAATAATATTAGTGTGATAAACCTGAAGGCAAAGGTGTTCTTGTATCTGAAACTCAGACTGGGGAATGCCCAGGAATGGTTCACGCCCACAGCCCCACCACTGGCTTCCTGACTGACACAAGAACACTGGATGCCTCTGTCTGTCCACCTGTGACATGCATATATAGGACAAAAACTCTGGGGTGAATGATTTAAAGACATCTCACTGTGATTTTCAATCTTTATATGAAATCAATGTTTCATATAACCAAAATCAAAAGCAGTGATTATGAGCTGCTTAATACCAATGAATGAAAGCCCCTTGAGAAGCTATAAATCCAAAACTGTCAACACATCAGTCCTTCCTTAATTAATCCCACTGTCCTAGCAAACTTAGTGCATTACATCTCCTAATACATTAAAAATCAAGCATCCCTGTATACTATTCAATGAGGTAACTGTGCCAAAAAGTTTATTGTGACTACTGAGTGCTTTTGTGAATCAGTGCACTTGAACCTTTGTCTTTGCCATCACTCCTGTTCTTTGCAGCTTAGAGGGAAAGGACTTTTATCTGTCCTTTATCCACACTCCTGACCTGCTGTTTCAGCACCCATACACAGCTTTCAGGCAGCCTGCAGGGCTCAGCCCAGGGAACCAGATGGTCCCAAAAGGAGGGTGGTGGGAGCAGGGAGTAGTAAGGAACACACAGGCCTGAACAGTCAGCACATCTAAACCCACTGGAGATGCTGAACACAGGCATGTGAAGGTGGCAAGAGGAATCTATGGGCCCAGAGCTGCACCAGTGAGCGTTCGTGACAGCTGAAACCAGTCTGAAACTGCACAAATAGACAGCCACAACTGAACCAAATCCAACCAGCCTACAAGTAAAGAAGGACCCAGGTATGATAATGATAGGTTGGACTTGAATTCAAACACGGGACCCCAGCCAATCCCATTGAACTGTGAATGCAGATATATCACTGGCCAGGGACTGGGGCGGTGCTGAGAACCCAACCAACCACGGCTGTAAGCACCAGAAATTTGAAATCTGTATAAAAGGGGGTGCCCAACAATAAACTCGGGCTGTTGTTGCACAAAACTCAGTGTATTCTGTTGTGTGCCTGTCTCTGAAACTGCGACAAGTGCTGACAGCTCACCTCAGTTGGACTGAGCAGGACATTGTGTCTTTTACACCATGACCTCTGGTGTGCTTCCTTCTGCCTAGTAATAAATGTTTTCCAGCAAGTTTTAGCAGATTTTAACCTATGCTCCGTGATTGTTTTTCGTGTGTATTGGTGGAGGGCTCACAGAAGTCACCGTTTCCCCCACAGCTCCTGGGGATGCAGCACATAATCCCCACCTCCAGAAGCACCAGTGTCTCCCCACAGGTCATCACAGAGCCTGGATTCTCACATTCCCCTCTGCAGAGCCATCACCCAGTGCTAAGGTGGGAAACCTGGTCTGCAAGGGAATGCTCCTCCCCACCACACCCTGGGATACAGCACCTTGCCTTTGTCTGAGGGACAGCAGGACATTTTCCAGCCAGACTTAGCACTAAGGGTAGGCTTCAAGTTGTGCCCTCCACAGAGAATGCTCTTAGGCACCTTCAGACACACCTGTCCCTGAGCAATGTGGGTCCCAGCACAGGCAGCCTGCAGGGCACAGCGTTAATTAAACCCCCTTCTGCTCCACTTCTGTTTCTCACATATGCACTGCCTCCATCCCAGAGACACAAAAACACGTTCTGACGGTCATCAAACTGTAACTGGGCCAAACTGGCTGTTCAGGAATAATTAAATTAATGTGAATGCTAATGAATAGCAAATCTCAGCTCATGCTCACGTCAAAGGAAAAAAAATTCTGAAAGAGGGGGCAAATTTAAAAAAAAAAAATCTTCAAAGTTTAGATTAATTCTTAGAACGAGGAAGCTTTTCCATTTTGTATTTATGAACAAAAAAAATCTTTGCATTGATGTTGTTTTAAGCCACATAGCACCACTTTGTCAGTGTTACTGTAACTTCACTGAAACGAAAAGCAAATTGGATCCTTGGGAGTTTCTGTTATTAATCATACATTGAAGAATTCTTAAACACAAGTTTAGCAGTTCAAGGAAAGCAAACTGACTTAATGAGAACAAAGTTATTACATAGCATTGATGTTTTCTGAGCCTTTGCACACTAATGCTTCTCCAAGGCAGAGTAGTTTTACTCCAGAAGCTACTAACAGAGTCTGGTTTGACAGTATTCCGAGTGCCATTTCTGAACCTGAGTACTGCTCCTAGAAACCACAGACCTTTACAAGCAGGTGTGAGGTATAAATTGATATTCTTTCTCCAGTGCATTGAGAGTAACTTTTAGTAATGACTGCTGCAAATAAACATTTTATTTTCTAGGTGAAATCAGTTTCCATTGCTTCTTAGGTACCACTGAGCTGTATTTTGGTATGGGATTTGGGGAGTTTAATATATATGTAACGCTGGCTGGAATTGTAACAAAGTTGTTAATATTTTAATGCTGGAAGAAAAAAAGTGGCTTAATTATTTTCTTTAGTCAGCTAATGTGGTTTACAGGATACAGTAAGAAATTACCAAATCAACACTTACAAAAACAAAGCCAAAGTTCTTTAAACTGTCAGTTTAAGAATATGTGGAGCCTGTGTGATACAGACATGAGACTGGACCACATGGTACACAGCCAAACTCTGTTAGATCTGTAGATGTTTTCTTCTGCTGATTTTTTTCCCTACCCCCAAGGGAACCTAAGGGGAAACCTTCTTTAATTATTAGAAGATACTCAAAACTATATTACAGTATCACTATGTGAATATAGGACAGATTTAGATGACGTTTTCCAGGTTGGTAAAGTACAATATTTCAGAAAAATAAAGATAATTTTATCACCAAGCCTGGTCATCCAAGTTATGTTTGCAAGTCTGCTGCTGGTTTAAGGTGGGACTTCTAGCAAAATCATTCTTCCTCATACAACTGAGGACACACAGAATCAAGGCAAGCCATGGTGCAGAAGCAAAGACATGCCATGAAGACAGTTGCATTGTGGATTAACTTTTCTGTTTGTAAAGTGCAGGCTATCAATAGCATGGACAAAAAATGAGCCCTTGGAAAAAGATAGAGTGAGAGCAGAATGTCTTGCACTAAGGTTATGTATTTAACAGTTTTACATTAAATATTCATATATAAAAACTTTTTTAAGTGCTTTTCTCCAATTTAAAAATCTAAAGAATTCAAAAATAAGGCATTCAATATTTGAAAAAGTACAGATTTACAAAATGTGTATATTCTTGTCATGAAAACTCCACACCAACATACACTTGGAAAAAAAAAATACAAACAGGATATATTACAAATTTATGTAGCAATAACTTAGTTCTTACCATGCAATAAAAAGGATGTTAATTGAGATACACAAGCTTTTAGCTTTCCCTAAACTGGAGGGCTTAATTTTGTTTGCAAATGAGTTTTTATGCAAATTCATAGAACTGTGGCACTTGAAATTTCTGGTAGCCTTTCTATTGAGAGTTAAATTGTACATAATGATTATGAGGATGGAGAGTAACACAGCGCTGTTACGAATCATTCCAACTTTGTTCGACAATAGCTGAAACTCTTTTCTCATATTCACGTTTGTTCTCCTGGTAAAGTTGTGCTGCCTGACTGTTTGCTGGACTGTTTGGATTGGGTTCATCAAGCAGAGACTGGAAAAAGGGGAAAACATAATGTGAGACAAACCAACACGTTTAAATCAGGAAAAAATAAATTTATTTTCAAGTCAAATGTGTTTCAGAGGCAGACACGACTCAGAATGGCCCAGATGAAAAAAAAACCTAGTTAAACTCATGGTTAGGCACCCCTAATTATACTGCTGAACCTCAAATTACACCCTGCCTAAGCATCAGTGCTGCACACACTTGTAGCTTCACAAACCAAACAGAGACAGTTTGCACTAGTCAGCACTATGGAGCTAACTGACTATTTGGTAATTACATTACTACTGTCATTCAGGACTGAAGAGGGGTTTAAGATGTCTCCTACAAAACATCACTGTTGAAAAATTAGAGCAATCACAAGGAGCAAAGGAATTGTGCATTTCCACTGTGCCAGGGCATTTTTACTTATTCCAAGTAGTGCGTTTCAGCAATATTGTCCCTTTGAGGGCTTCACAGTAAAGTTAAGTATTTCAAACAGTGAGGCAAATTTCTGCATCTGGTATCCTATCTTGACTAAAACCAGTTAAAAATGACCACAAACCAGAAAGTAACTGCTTTCCTGTGCAAAATATATAATGGCAGTTTTGTAGCTCAGAATTAGTAATTATGTAGCACCTTTGCCTTTATTTGATCTAAAACGAACTGCTTAGCTCATAAGGATTTGAAGTTCCCCTTGATACCTGGCTATCCCCATCACTGAGTTGTGAATTCTGGAATACAGACCAACAGTAACAAAATTATTTGGTAAAACAGATGCAAAGTTACCTGAATTGAAGTTAAAATAGATGAAACATCGTATGTTGGACTCCAGCGATTCTGAAGAATATCTAAACATATGCTGCCATCTGCATATACTGTAAATACAACACAGATATCACTTAGAAACTGTCAGATTGATGGCACTATTCAAGTCAGATTTATTTTTCCAATTCAGTCTGTGCTTAGATTAATGCTTTAGGAAAGAGGACAGCATTTGTCTCACCAGCTTCTGGGGCTTGACATATACTTTGAAGATTTATTACTGAAATTAACAGAACACCTAAGAGGGAAACAAGAAAGGTCTGAAGATTATGGCATTAGCACAGGAAGGGGCAGACTTGGTGTCCTGCTCCTCCAGTGTGACTGACCCATCTTGTCACAGTGGAGAGGTCTCCCAGAGAGCAGTGAGGCCTTCACTGCAGGAGTGGAACCACTCACAGCCATCACACCCTGAGCAGCTCCTGCCCCATTTTCACACATCTTACACACACTGTGAGAGGCACCAAGGCAGACAGTAAAATATATGGGAAAGTGCCTGAAATCCTACCTCTGTCTGGATACCTATCAGTCTTAATGGAGTTCACATGAATCCAAGACTCACTGTTCAAACTTCTACACCCTTGTCCTCCAGCTTGTTCCCAACAAATTACAAACCATATGGCAGAGATAAAGTGGCCTGCACACTATGTGAAGCATAATTTCTACAGAGGAGCAGCAGGCAGGGTTTCTTCTGCATGCATGTACTCAGCAAAACCTATCAGTGCACAGTGCACACTCATAGCTGCCCTCATACAGAGTTTGGGTCAGATGCCTCCTCTATGACAGCATCTGAATTTTCTTCCCTGTGCTAGTCCTGGCTGGCACAGCACCAGACAAAAGCAGAGACTTTCACCTTTTCACCTGGCAGAAGTAAGTAACACTTGGCTCCATCAGTTCCCTGCAGCTCATCATGTGGCTGCAAGACACGGCTGCAGTTAAATGAAAGGGGGCAGGAATCTGCAGCCAGAACTGCCTCTTCAAACCAACCTAAGTGCAGCTGCTGCTGAAAATACTCACAGGCTTTGCTACTGAGGCTACATATTGATTAGTAAGAGGCACATAGCTGTTTCTTAATAGCATCATAACTCTTAATTTTTCATCAGTTTCTGTCCTAGACATCTTCGTAGGGGATGGAAATACTTAGGGGACGAGAGATTAAGCATTCTGGAGCTTCAGAGAATGCATGATCACACTGTAGTATTTAATGAGTATTACAGCTAAATAAAGATGGTTTACTCACCATTTGGATGGAACATTTTTGATAAAAACCTAACAGTTGGAGGCTTATTTGGATATTCTTCAGAAAATTCTATTACTAGTTTAAAAGTACCTGTCCAAACAAAGATAAATACAATCACACAATCAATAACAAAAGAACATATCCACAAACACAGACAGCAAATTAATTTATGTGCTCCATGATCAGTATTTCTCCTCACCATTATATAAACAAAGAACACTGAATCTGATTGCTTTTCATATATTTCAAGTGATTTGGGAACTATGTTTAGAGTGATAAACCCAGCAGCATAGGTTGGGTAAGACCTTGGAGACTCACTGTATACATGGCAAAGGCAGCCATATCCAACATTATCCCACTTTTCCATGACCCAGTATGTTGGGTCCATGGACTTGAGTGACTTTAAGGCATTTCTTTAAGAAGATATTGTGGTCCTAGCAAAGAAACACTGGAATTTCATAATCTGCAATCTCAGTCTTTGGAGCTCGCAACTGATTCACTGAAAACCTTTGTTATGGATCAGTGAATAATTTACTGTAACTCCTCCAACCTAACACAGAGAAAAACCCATCTGCTGCCAATTACTGCAATAATACTATAATTATTAAACTCATTATTCCTCATATGCCTAAGGGAAGCTCATTACACACTAGCTTTCATGTTTATCCACAAATTTGGGATTCCCTCAACCTTACTGAGTTCAATATTGAGAACAACTCAACGTTTTTCACCTGTTCTTCATTAGGAGAACAGTGATGAATCAAACATGCAAAAAAGATGAAAGAGAAAAGCTTTTGTTGAGCTCAGCTAGAGATGTGTGAACACACCTGGTGGTGTCAGGCCAATAACCTCTGCTAAAAGCTCTTGTGTGTATGTATGAAAAAGCCTTGACAGAAGCATTGCTTTGTAGCTTTCTAACCAACCATGGGCCAGTGTGACAAGACACTGCTTAGATCATGATACACATTTTTACAGCCAACAAGCCTTACTCCTTCACTTACTTAGTTTGTTTCAAATGAAACACAGCATCTATTATTAATATTATTAATAATAGAAAAGCATCTATTATTTTTCAAAAGCAGAACAATGTTAGTACTGCCAACATTTATTAGAATGACAAAGGATACAAAAGTTAGCAACTTACCATCTTCAAAAGGTGTCCCTTCTGGTCTGAAAGGTTTTAAAAACAAACTCCAGTTAAAAGTGATCATTACCTACTTCCACATAGGCACAATAAAAGTACACCTTCTTTCTCATCCTCCCCAAGATATAGGTAGAATCAAGAATTTAAATGCTTAGAGAAGCATCCATAGGCAGCCTCTGAGAGCTTTGTTGTATCTAAGACACTTCCCATAGTTACTCTGCTATTGGGGATATCTACATCATCATCCCAAACATTAATGTATGCCTTTAAGTGACTAGATGGGAACAAATGACTAGATTATTAGCAAGCACACTTCAGTTTTATGTCAGGATACTAAGCCACTTCCTCTTCCACAGGATATGTAATGTAACTTCCCAGAGAGATCCCGGACCTTTGTTCTACTAGGATTCAATCCAATCACTAATACATCTGGATATAATGGCTGAGAACATGTGGCATTTATGTACTTTGAAGAGGAATCCTGCTTTTTTATAACACAGTATAACCTATTCATTAAGCCACATGCAAGCTGCATTCAATAAAAAAGCTGAACAAATTTAAAGTTTAAATTTTTGTCTTCCTAACCATTCTCAGTTATCTGGGAAAAGAGATTTTTACCATAACACTTAGCCAATTTTTAAGTTTAAGGTGTTACATACATGAAAAAAGAGAATAACTGTACAAACAGGTTGTTATATTTAGCCCTCTGATACTGAATTTCATAGTGACCAAAAACTCTTACCCAAATATAACTGCATTCCATTGCATTATATTATTCTCAGATGGTGCACCACTGACACCCACAGGAGGGTCCTCTTGCAATCTAAGAATTACAAACATAGAATGAGAAGTCATATACATGAAATAGTTCCATCTGCAGATATAATTTACCAGTAATATCCACACTTTGTAAATATTTTCTCATTCCAGATCAGAGAACACAGAAAGCATTACATGCAGGTTAGCAACGCTCTGAAATACAGACCTACAAGGCAACACACATCAAGATTTTCTCATGTTTTATACCAAGACACAAAGGCACAACAGATCTGATTAAGTGTTCAGGGAGCAAAGGACTAACTAAGAATTACTTATAGCACCATGGAGAGCTGGGATTTATGGTGCTACACTGAACCATGAGAGAGCAACTGCTTCTGGCAGCCACAGTGAAGAACAAGCTGCAGCCACAACCAAGAGCTGAAATCCAAGCAGTGACACACACAGAGCAATCTTGCTGGGACTCGAGGTAAGGGACTGTCTGTGAAGCTTTTCCTGCACACCCAGATCTGTAAGAAGTGGCTAAATTTGGTATAAGGCTATTTTGACTGACAAGCTAATTGCTTCAAAAGGGAGCAAAGGGGAAACCTGTTTGCTGGTCCTCCCTCTTACAGTCCCACAAATTTGTTTATCTCTAAAGCAATCATGGGAACATTTTACATTATTTTTAGTTCCTTAATCCTTGGACTAGGGAAAAGCATGTTACTTACTCAAAGCTTCACAAACTGGAACCAGAAATACATACTGCAGCCAAAGGGCAGGATCCAAATGCTCCGCTCTGCCCATCATTGGATCCGTATTAAGGATCACAAGACCCTGAAGAATGTACACCGGTGGGCCCCAACCTCATTAAACCCCCTCAGTGACAGCTCCTACTCCGCTCACCTATTTTGCCTCCAGAACTACGCAAGAATAAGGAAAATGCAGTGACTATCCTTGTCTCACAAAAAAATTTTGAGTGTTACCATGAGGTTTGATAGTATCACAGCATACTTATAAACAAGTCACTACAACAAGCTCTGCAGACCAAGGGACAAATTCTAACTAAATGCCATGTACAAATGCAGATTTATTGAGGACTGTCAGCAGCACAGCCAGGCAATCCTCCCTGCACTCGCACTGCCTCAGCCTGGGGTAACACCACATGCTGTCCAAGGATGCTGAGCAGTGGCACTGCCCTGCAGAGCAGCACAGAAGCTGCTCAGAGCCCCTCTGAACTCTGTGTTTACATCTCTGCTCTTTGAGCACACACAGTCCAGACAGCTGAGTATCAACACCATAAACCACCTTCTATTTTGGTCAGGGAAAGCAGGAACAGGACTTCTTCCTATGTGACAGCCAGGCTGCAGGCCAGCAGCAGTACCTGAGCATTAGCCTGACAAATGCATCTGGGAGATGACTTTGGTTTTTAGATCAACTTCAAAGCACATGTGCACCCTACCTGTCACAGGGTCTAACTACAGAAAGGATCTGGCAAGGACTGCAAATAGGACTAATCCTGAAAGTCCTAAACAGCGGGTATTAGTACTCCCTTTTTATCAGCAAAATAAATAAATAACCTTTTTTTTTTTCTTTTGGTTTATTCAAACAAACTGGAGGGGGTAAGAAATCTGCTGAACTGTTCTCTCTTCACTGCTCCTGACAATCACAGTATGCAAAAGCAGTTTATATTTAATGAAGGGAATCAGAGTTCACAGCTCACTGTCTGTTATTTCAGTGTAAAGTAAAATAATATAAGAAACAAATATATAACTTGCAGCACAGAAAAGCATATTAAAACAAAAACTGACATGAAAAAGTTCATAAATTTTGGAATATCAGAGTTGCAATAAATATGAGAAACAGATTTGATTTACTTTGTCTACTTGGTTATATTTTTTCACAGCTTTAGAGTCTTCTCTCCAGTCTTAACTTCAAAATTATTAAACCACTCCTTGTAGGAATATAAAGGCATAAAACCCACATCTGACTGCAATATTGAAAAATTAATTAGTCAGCCTGAAAAAATTCACTGATTCATGTAACCAAATACAATAAAAAGTCTGAATATCCTGTTTTGATTTGAATGGGAATCAAGCAACACCCACTTAACAAACACCAACACTCACATAACAGCAGGGGAGGGCTCCACTTCCCAAAAACCTCCTACTGCTTCTAGATTCACGAATCAGGCTTTCGTCGCTGTTGCTTTACGTGCAGCCACGTTAAGCAACTAAAATACACGTCAAGTGTTTACTGATGTGTTTTCAGGGGCTAGTATAACATAGCTATGCTAAAAAAAGTGACAATATAAAAGCTGACTCACCTCCAACTACTGAGCGACCTAGTCTGGAGAACTCTTACTGAAAATATTACAAGGGAACCCCCCACCCTTTTCCACACTCCAAATGTGTTTACGTGTCAAAGTGAAAATCATTTATTCCAGAGTCAGTGGTTCAGTCATTAACATTTAAAAGCGTGCAACTAATAACTGCTCCTTTAGCAGCTGGCATATATTACACAAGATTCCTCACGACTGCAAACTTTAAACACAGTATCACGTGCATAACAACATTAAAGGCCATTTTGGCTCTTATTACACACAAACGAAGCGTTCGCTAATTCTATGCGCTTCTTTTTCAGGTACCTATCACAAAAAAACTTATTTTCAGAGCGACCCTCCGACCCAAGAAGGCCGGCACACTTGTGAATTCTGCCGGAGCCATTCAAGCCGGAGCCTGCGGCTCCCGGAGGCAGCTGGCGGCGGTGGGGAGCGGGCCGGACCCCGG